GAGACAACGGCGAAATGCCTCGAGGACCCGTTTGCCTCTTGGTGGTCATTTTCCTCCTTGTCACTGTCCTGCTGACGCTGCTCTTCCTGGTTCCTGGCCCTCCTTCTCCCGCCACTCCCGAGCCTACCCCTGCCTTTCTTCGCTCGTCCTCCCCCACTGCGCCTCCCCGTCGTCTTCCTGCCGCCGCCCCCTCTGAGACCCCCCTCCGCCTCCCCTCCCCGCCTCCCTCAATCCTTGCCCCTCTCTCGCTGGACTCCCCCCCCCGTCCTGCCCCCCAATCCCCCCCCCCCCCGACCCCCCCCCCCCCCGCTGCTCCGACTCAACGGCTGTTCCCCCCTCCTCCCTTCCCTCTCCTCCTCCCGCCCCCGCCCCCCCCACCCCCCGCGCCCGGAAAGCGCACGCACAGGAGGCGCGCGCATGCAGACGCGCAGGAGCGCGCACGGGCGCGCACGGGCGCGCACGGGCGCGCGCGTGCGCGAACGGGCGCGCGCACCGTAAAGCCAGCCAACGGAGCCTCCGCCACACCACGCCGCGGGAGCCCGGGCGGCCCGCGCACCGGCCCTGGCGAACGGCGCGGGCAGTGGCCGCCGCGAGCACGCCAGCCTCGCCGTCGCCGCTCGTCGTCCTGATCGACGTCGTCGTCGACATCTTATATCTCCTCCTCCTCCCCCTCCTCCTCCTCCTCCTCTCCTCCCCTCCAGTCCTTGTCCTCCTCCTCCTCCTCCTCCTCCTCCTCCTCCTCCTCCTCCTCCTCCTCCTCCTCCTCCTCCTCCTCCTCCGCCGCCTCCGCCTCCGCCTGCGCCTCCGCCTCCGCCTCCTCTTCAGTGCGAGGCCTCGTGCACGCACAACCCTAGGCACAGAATGGGCATGCATCGCAACCCTCACAAACAAGAAAGGGGGTCCGAGGCCGACTCAATCCGACCCAAACGCCCCACCGCAAGTATCCCCCCCACCCCACCTGAGAGAGTGGCGCGGACGGCGGCCCCATGACAAGACGAGCACAATTCGCGCCGCTCATTACAGTTGCGGCCAGGGAAGCCTTTACCCAGCAGCTTGGATCCTCACTGTGTTGTGGCGAAGCCTCCGCAACCAGCGCACCAAATGAAAAGGAGGTCAGGGCCATCGCCCCAGGAAACATTGAGAGCGTGAGCTCTGTGGTCATCATCAGAATCGAATTTCACAAGCAGAAGGCTCGAGCCTCTGCAGCCCCTCTCGGGACACGGGACCAAAGCGGCGAGCGATTTCACGCAGCTCCACTCAGGAGTAGCTCGGACACGTCCTCCAACAGGCGGATTCTGGGTGACCCCAAAAACGGTCCAACCTACTCGAGAGGTCCTCCCCAAACTACTCCTGACGAATGTTTGCGCATTCCTCCTGTAGGGGGGCGCGCCCGACTCAAACTTGGGAGCGCTGCTCCACCAGACGAACCCGTGCGAGGGCGAAGGGGGGGGGGGGGGGGCCGGGCGGGGCCGCCTCTCCCGCGGCCTCCCCGAGCGTGCCGCCCGCCTGCTCCTGAGGCGCGTGGGCCAGGCCGCAAGCGCCTTGCCGACGCCCCCGACGAGCATCACGGGGGGGGCCCGACCACAGGAGGCCTTCCGCAGAAAGCCCAACCCTGAGGCCCCAGGCATTCCCCTTGATTCCTGGTGCAGGAGCGTCGCGCCGTCCACCGCAAGACCATCGAAACCCAAGAAACCAGGGGAGGCAAGCAGGGTGTTTCTTGGCATGGCCTCGACTGTAAGCTACGCCGGCGCGGAGCGAAGGATGAGCTCAGCCTCTGCATTTGAGCAGCCGTTCTGGTCGGCTGCAATCCTCGCATAGTGGTCAGCAAAAGATTCCCTTCAATGAAGCGGGCGCCCGCCTCATCCATCGCCCCACCATCTCCACCGCGAGCCTCGCCGCGCGCAAAAGCAACAGCTCTGCCCGGGCCCGTAACCCCAGGCATAGCACGCCAGCAATGGCTTCGGGGGCACCTGCAGTCGACGAGGGGTCCACACCCGAGAAAGACCACCCCTAAGAGAAAAACGCAGCCGAGACTTCCGCCGCAGGCTCGGCCGAGGCAGCCGCCCGAGACACATCCCCGGCGAGGCCCGCGGAGGGGCCCTCCGGAAGGCCCCCATCTTCTGACACCTGGACCACCGGACAGCCCGCACGGGCCAGGGTCCACTCGTGCCGAGGACAGCGGCAGCTTCCATCGGAGCACAGCGTCGCAACCGAGGGCAGGTTAAAGCTTCGCAAGACCGACAGATACCATCGAAGAACTTGACGTGCCATGCTGCCTCAAATTGGGTCACGTCAAGCTCCGCAATCCACCCGCGAGGAAGCGGCGGGCGTCCCCCCACGCCTCTAACGCCCGACGAACTCAACCACCCCAGCTCCTCCCTAAGCGCGCCCCCATACGGGCAATTCCAAACGCGATGCCAGAGCGCGTCCTGCACTGGCAACGCGGACAACGGGTCGAGAGGTTACAATCCCACTTGGCCAGCTTCACCACCGCGGGGTCGGACCATCCTGGAGCTCGGGGCTTGACCTTCTTTCGAAAAAAAGTCCCCCGCACATGCGCGTCCTTAAGCTAAGACACAAAACGTTGTTTGACATAGCTGGACCACCCTCAGATTATTAGGGGCATAGGGTTAGGGGCAGCACTTGCTTGGCGCTCCGCCTCTTCCAACTCATTTTGGAGACGTGCGTGTGACTCCAGTTCTTCAACCTGCTGTGCCTGGAGCTCCCTCGTCGTCGCCTGAAGGCCTCCCGACCTCTGGATGCAAGAGACGAGCTGATTCGTTTTCTTTGCCACCACCTGCTCGGCCATCCAGACTAAGATGCTGACGGGCAAAGGCTCATCACGTTTAGCTTTGACATCATTGAGCACCTCTCGTAGCTACTCGACATGCTCTGACCCCAATTGGTCTGTAAATTTACCGCTCGCACCTTGAATGAGCTGGATGTTACAATCTGACACCCCGGCCTCTCTGGCGGGACTGTCCCAACGATGCAGAGATTGCTGCACCTGCTGAGGCTGCTGCTGCTTGCCAGAAGACTTTGACTTCCAGGCGTCCCACGACGAACGAACTGACCACACTCCACAGTTGCGGGCCAGTCCCTTCCAAGAGCCTTCTCCAACCTTCTTGTATAGCCCCGCATGAATAGTACAACTTAAACAGCTAGACCTGGGACACAAGAACATCCTTCAAGAACATGAGACCCTCCGACGACCAAAACACACAGAACATCCTGGGGCACCATACCCGGAATGCATCAGAACACCCGACAAGCACGAATAACCTTAGGGCACCCTGCCCGAACCGACCTCGATCTTACACCTCGGTCCAGACGCAATGACCAGGAGTGCGTTAGCACCCACAAGACGAGCAGATGTCGCTACCATCTGGCCAGAATCCATCATTGCCCGACATGGACTGTGGCGGGACCGGTGACAGATGCGAAAGGATGCTGCTCCCAGGGCGGACAAGATGCAGCTCGGCCGGGGGAGAACCCGGCAGAAGGATTCGCAGTGGCCGCGGATCAGCGGTGTCCGCGCGTGTCGCACGGGAGGCACAGAACCTCGAGCCAGAATGGCTATGGACTGCTACTCCTCCTCCTACTGCTCCTGCGCTCCCACCTGAGGCGCAACCGAAGGTTACTTCGCCACCTCTTTGAAAGGGACCACGCAGGCGAGAGAGATCTCCCCTGACCCCTGGGGTCCCTCTTCCGCGGTACAAGACCGCGGGCACCAAAACCAAAAACAAAAAAAGACCACCACCCCCTCCTACTCCTCCTCCTCCACCTCCTCCTGCTCCTGCTCCTCCTGCTCCTCCTCCCCCTCCTCTTCCTCCCCCTCCTCTTCCTCCCCCTACCCTCCTCCTCCTCCTCCGCCTCCTCCTCCGCCTCCTCCTCCTCCGTCCTCGCCCCCCTCCTCTTCCTCCTCCGTCCTCGTTCCCCCCCCTCTTCCTCCTCTCCGATCCCTTCTTCTTATGGGCCAAAGACTTCCTCACCATGTATGACCCTGAAGCTTGAAATTTGCAACAAGCGCAAGGACAAGGGGTAGTGTTCAAACTTTGCTTCTCTCATTCGCGCTCCGCACATCCGTTATTGAAAAGGCAGCGGCTACAAGGATGGAGGGGTGCGGTAGAATGGGGGTCTCGCCATAGAGCCACGCACATTCGCCTTAAGCATTGGCACCGACTACAAAGATGGACGGAGGCCAGGTCGTTTTCAAACTGGGGCTCTCGCCGTAGCGCCGCGAACATTCGTTTTTAAAGGCTTGCACGAGCTGCAGGGATGAGCGGCCCGCCTTGTCAAAATAGGAGTCGCGCCTTAGCGCCCCTCACACTCGTCTGAAACGTTGCAACAGTTATAGGGATGGAAAGGGGAGGACTAGGGCTCTCGCCTTAGCGCACCCAGATTCTACAGATAAGGTCACAGCAATTACAGGGATGGGGAGGGGTCAAAATGGAGTTCTCGCCTCAACGCCCGCGCCAAATCGTTTTCTCGAAACCTTATGACAATAACACTGAATGAGGGCGGTTCACTTCAAAGGTAGGGCTCTCGCCTTAGCACTGCCACACTGTTCTTACCAGCCTGAAACAATGTACAAGGATGGAGGGCGGCTCGTATTCAAACGTGGAGCGCTGGCCCCAGCATCGCGCACATTCGTCTTAAACGCTTGCAACAACTACACATCAATCACCGTGCCCCCTGGCACCATCGGGCGCGCTACAATGCCATATAAGCGACAGGTTTTACGCGAGATGGCACAGCGACCTTACGCGGCGGCTCACGCGGGCACCAAGCGCGGCACGCCACATTGGAAACGAGGGCGCTTACGCGCGACCTTACGCGGGCAGCTTGCGAGCCAATGTCGGCGCAGTCGACCCCGTTCTCAGGGGTCGCTCAAGTGCTGCCTGGTTGGGCTTGTGTTGTGTTGCTAACATTGTACTTAAGGACCACCTCCCAGAAATTATTGCGAGCGCCCAGAAGGAGTATCAAAAAGTGCCGAACAAGTATCGCCACCCAGGGTCCGGCACGTGAAAACCCTCCAGTTTCGGTACTTTCTTGGAGCTCGAAACTCGTTCTGGTGATCAAGGCTGAAAGGCACGGTTTCCCCCGGGGCCGTAGGCGACCCGAGGAGGAGGAGGAGGAGGTGGAGAAGGAGGGGGAGGGGGAGGAAGAGATGGAGATAGAGGAGGAGGGGGAGGAGGAGGAGGAGGAGGAGGAGGAGAAGAAGAAGGAGGAGGAGGTGGAGGAGGAGGAGGAGGACGGGTCGCCTAAGCCCTTCGGAGAAACCCTCCAGGCTGAAAAGCAGGCTGGAGCATCACAAGGCTTGTGCTTTTCTGATTTTCTGAAGGAGCCCCCCAACCCTGTCGAGAGGCGCCCGGTCGCGTACCCCGCCTCCCCTCCTTTGCCCCAAGGCCATAGCCCCTCTGCAGAACACAGCCAAAGCGTGCATCAAGGGACCCAGGGACCCTCACACGAGTACCCACAAATCCCAGGATTCCCCATGTTTCTCCATATGTTCTGGGTGTTCGTCTTCCCCCCTCATTTCCCATATGTTCCCCATATTTGCCTGGGAGTCGACGATTGATTGTGTCCGTGCGATTTCTTCC